ATTCATCTAACTGTTAATAGTCCTTAGTACACACAGGCTTTCTCCCAACCTGAGGATTTGATGTGAGCCTTCCACCATGGCCAAAGAAAACAAACCAAGACAAAAATAACATCAAGAGACTTTAAAATGATAACTTCTTTGTAAGATGTTTTGTAAACTTTCCCTTATTTGCTATGTATAGACACATGCCATGAGTTATGTGAAAAGCCACTCTATTGTGTTTATTTTACAAATAATGAGGAGGTAAGTGACTTCTCTGAGGATACAGAAAGAATGCATGTAAAATCATGACTTCAACCATGTTGATATTCTTCCTTCCATATTTCCCTGCCTCAGAGACCTTTGAACATCTTGACTGCTACCTGAGATAGAGCCTGTCTAACAGTACTTATTAATTACTCCATGGCTGAATTTCTTATTTCAGACTCACTATTCAGGATCGACTGTTCTTTCTGTTTCAGCAGACAGGTAAGCACCTATGTTCCATAAACATTTTTAATGGAAAGTGTAATTTATGCAAAAGCAGTGGGGCAGCTATACCAACTATGAGTTATTTAAGCACAGAAATAGATTTTTTTCAACATTCTTCTATAGTACTGAAGAGAGACTGGGATATGAATGTCGAAACTTCCATCAATGTGGGTTTTAGTGATTCTTATGAAATATGCTGCTTTCCCAAAGAAAATGAACAGAAAAATAAAATATGTGATGTTTTGATTAAATAAGAGATGATTACATCTTGTTCTCTCTCTGCTGGTTTCTCATTGGAGGTTCAAAAAAAGAGAAAAGAGAAAAGAGTAATGTTCTTTCTTTAAATGACAAAAGGGTCTTCAATGAATTAACAATATCTGAACTGCATTTAACACTTTCCCCATAATCTTACGATTATTATTAATAGCACATCTACAAAAGTTGACAGTGATGTGGCTAAAAGAACAGATTTTGATTAAGTTGAAGTGAATTTAATGTTGATTCTTGACCCTTCCTCATAGTAGATGTGCAATTTTAGAGCATCGCAAGCCTTCAATTTCTTATAGTAAAATAATAATATAATGTAAACTCCTTGTACTCTCACACACACACACACACACACATGCACACATCATTTATATATAAAGCACTATATACACCACTGGCTGTAGAAGATAATATATGCTAAAAATGGTCATGCATATTAAGATTGTCAAACATAGTATCTTCATGGGCTAGGGGTATAAAATGAAGTTGCGAAAGGTTTAGCAAGACGAAGAGGGGGAATGGTAGTTATCAGAGAATGGCTGCCTTTTCAAAATCTTCAAATTCAAATGAAAAAATCTAAAATACTGTCCCTACACCATATTTTACAACATGTGGTTTGCAGGCCAAAATTAGCCCCCACACTAGGAACTTCCAATTTTTAATCTCTGTGATTCAACAATTGGATCATAGTAATGACAGAAAGAATGATTTTAACAAAGACTCGCTCAAGCTAAAATATAGATTTCAAGGAAGATATTAAGCAAAAGAATAGCTCAGGCGGAATTTTAGGAGCAGCCAATCATATGGCATGAGTGAGTATGGACAAAGAAACACTGGAGTGCACGGAAAAATCTCAGTGGTCATAGTGTGTGAGAAAACACAAATTGAGAAGAGAGACTTTAAGACTTCAGAACTAATCCATACTTTAGGTCCTGTATGTCACCATCCATCCATTTTTCCCAAACAAACATGAAGACTATCTTTTCATCCTAATAATAGTTTTATAACTAGCACTCATCTGGCTGTGCTAAACGCTAGCTTTTTATTCATTATTATTTAAGCATTACCTTATTTAATCCTCACAATAATACCTTAAGATAGATCTCATTACTGTCTTCATTTGGCAGATGGAAAAATGAGGTTTTGGGGAGGTACGGTAGGACCAATGACTCCTAGGTAGTGAATGATAAGACTTATATGCACCTCACCCTAGAGCCCAAGTTTTATACCTGATGCTTTGCTTTTCCCTCATAATTTTCTCTATTCGTCATACATGCCCCTTCTGCTCCAGTTATCCCAATACATCTACTATGCATATATCTCCCAGTTACTTTACTGCAAAACCCAAACACTGAGTTTGGACCAATGGAGACAATGAGAAATTGTAAACTGAGTTAAATTCAATGTTATTTAAATTAAATTAACAGCACATAGTTATGAACCATTCTGCCTTGGTCTCAAGGTTGGCTTGATTCCAAAGTGTGGCTTGCCAGTTATTAATTGTTTGAACATGAATAAATTTTTCAATTCCTTGTGCCTCATAATTGTTGTGAATATAATAATTAATCAACCTCCTAGTGTTATTGAGAGGAATCAATGAATATACATGTAAAGTATATAGAGAAGTTCCTGGCAGATGAGCTAAATGAAAGTATTAGCTTTTACTAGGCTCAGAAAAGTGAGTTGGTGGATATATTCATTCCAGACATATCCTCTAGGACAACAAAGGTGATTTCATTATATTCATTTTACAAACGAAAAGGAGGTAGGTGACTCCTCTAAGGACACAGAGAGAACGTATGGTAGGTTCAGGAATTGAACCACGTTACTATCCTTTCCTCTATTTTTCCCTGCCTTAGGGAACTTGGAACTTTCTGACAGCTACCTGAGAGAGAGCTCCCCTAATAGTATCTATGCATTATTTGACTGATATTCTGATTTCAGATTCACTATTCAGAATTGACTGTTCCTTCTCTCCCAGCATACAGGTAAGCATCTTTATTACTTAAACATTTTTAGTGTGGAGTTTAATTTATGCAAAAGAAGTGGGGCAGCTATACTTAAAGTTATTTGAGAACAGAAATAGATATTTTCAATGTTTTTCTAAAGTACCGAGGTGAGGCTGGGGTATAAATGTCAAAACTTCTATCAATAGGGAGTTTACTGATAGTTATGAAACATCATCCTGCTTTCCTAAAGATATGAGCAAAAAATTAACAAATGATTCTCTGATTGATCAACTGGCAGTTTTATCTTGTTCACTAAATGTTGGCCTCTCATTGGAGGTAAAAAACAACAAAAAAAGAAGAGGAGTGAAATGATCTTTAAAGTACAAAAGTGTCTAATATAAATCAAAAAGATCCAAATTGCATTTTAAACTTCTCCGTATAATTTCATGGTTATTATTATTAGCACATCTACACATGTTGACAATGAATGGCTAAAAGCATAGACTTTTGATTAGATGGAAAGTGGATTTAACTCTTGAATCTTAACTCTTTCTCATACTTGCTGTGGAATTTTAGAGAATCAAATAACTTCTCAAATCCTCAATTTCCCTAGTGATAAGGTAGAAATAATAATACAACCTACCTTATACACACACACACACACACACACTCACATACATTTATATATGAAGCTGTATTGGTTATAAAATGTAGTATATGCTAAAAGTGGTCATGTGTGTTAAGGTTGGCAAACATAATGTCTTCATGGGATAGGCTTGTAAAGTGAAGTTGGAAAAGTTTTAGGAAGAAGATGTCACTAGTTAGCAGAAGACCGATACCCTTCCAATGGCTTCCAATTTAAATAAAAAGATTTAAAATATTGTTCCTACACAAGAGCAGATTCAAATAAAATATTTTGCAACACAGTGTTTGCCACCACAGCAGATCTACAGTCTAAAGACAGCCCACAAACAAGCAACTTTCAACCCTTGATCTCTGTGATTTTGTTAAGAGATGAGAGTAGTGAGAGAAAGGGTTTAAGAAAAAGGAACTCTTTTAAGCTAAAATATGGATTTCAAGGGAGAAATTAAGCAAATGAATGCTCACATGGAATTTCTGGAACAGTCAATTGCATGGGCAAAGGTGAGAAACACTGGGGAGCACAGAAAATCTAAGTTACTCTAGTGTGTGAAAAAAGGCAAATTGAAGAGGAAGTCTTTAAGACTTCAAAACTCATGCACACCAGAAGCCCTGCAGGGTGCAACTCATTTTGCCCACACCAACATGGAGACAATCATTCCATCCTAATAATAATAAATAAATAAAGCTCATCAGACTATGCTAAACACCCAGGAGTTTATTGTTTTTTTAATACATTACCTTATTTAATTCTCACAATAATACTGTAAAGCAGGTCTCTTTACTGTCTTAATTTTATAGACGGAAACTTGAGGTTCAGGTGAGTTAGGTAAGGATTAATGACTCATAGGTAGTAAATGGCAGGGCTGATATGCTCCTCATCCCAGAACCCAAACTCTATACCAAATCCTTTGCCTTCTCTTCAGAATTGCCTCTGTTGGTTGCACATGTCCACACTGCTCCGGTTATCCTACCACATCTACTACACACATTTCTCTCAGTTACTTCGCTGCAAAACCCCAAACTCTGAATTTGGACCAATCGAGACAATGAGTAATTATAAACTGAGCTAAATTCAAGTTGATTTGAATACAATTAAGAACATTAGAAAACATTCCATGTGGATGCAAAGGTTGACTTTGGTCCAAAGCATGGCTTGTCAATTAATTCTAATTTAATTAGAAAAATTTACTCAATCTCTTGTGAATTATCATCTAAATGAATGTAATAACAAATCAAACTCATAATGTTCTTGAGAGGATGTAATGAATATACATTTAAAGTGTCAACAGCAGTCCCTGGCAGGTCAGCAACATGTAAATATGCTTTTATTAGCTTGGGAAAAGTGAATTGGTAGATATATTCATTTTGGACAAGCCATTGGTCAACTTATTTAATTTCCTATATCTCAGTTTATAGATTTATAAACTTGAAAAGTTGTGGAAAAATGATCCGTGATGATCCCTCGGATTCAACAGTATGTAAATTTATACATAATTAATGCACTAAGTTCTGTTATCAAGCCCATTTTTACCTGGAGAGTCTTGAAATACAAGTTATTGCCATAATGAAATAATAATTATTATTGTATATACACTTTTCAATCTAGCTTTCTTTGGTATCACTCTGTTTCTATCTTCTCACAAACAGAGCATTTTTTGATTCTCAACATTGATGAAGAACAGGACAGAAGTGACACAGTTCATCCTCCTAGGACTAACCAATGCCCCAGAATTGCAGCTCCCACTGTTTATAACTTTCACCCTCATCTATATCATCACTCTGATTGGGAATTTGGGGATTATCATGTTGATTCTGTTGAACTCTCATCTCCACACTCCCGTGTACTTTTTCCTCAGTAACTTGTCTCTAGTAGATTTGTGTTACTCTTCAGCTGTCACTCCCACAGTCATGGCTGGTTTTATTACAGTAGACAAGGTCATCTCCTACAATGCATGTGCTGCTCAGATGTTCTTTTTTGTAGCATTCGCCACTGTAGAAAATTACCTCTTAGCCTCAATGGCCTATGACCGCTACGCAGCAGTGTGCAAACCCCTACATTATTCCACCACCATGACAACAGGTGTGTGTGCATGCCTGACCACTGGCTCCTACATCTGTGGTTTCCTGAATGCCTCCATCCACATTGGAGACACATTCAGTCTTTCTTTCTGTATGTCCAATGTGGTCCATGACTTTTTCTGTGATATTCCAGCTGTCATGGTTCTCTCTTGCTCTGATAGGCATGTGAGTGAGCTGGTTCTTGTTTATGTAGTGAGCTTCAACATCTTTTTTGCCCTCCTGGTTATCTTGATATCCTATGTAATCATATTTATCACCATCCTAAAGATGCACTCAGCTTCAGGATATCAGAAGGCTCTATCCACCTGTGCCTCCCACTTCACTGCAGTCTCCATCTTCTATGGAACTATTATCTTCATGTACTTACAGCCCAGCTCCAGTCATTCTATGGACACAGACAAAATGGCATCTGTATTCTATAGTATGATCATCCCCATGCTCAACCCTGTGGTCTATAGTTTGAGGAACAAGGAGGTCAAGGTTGCATTCATGAAGGTTGTTTCAGAGGCAAAATTGTCTTTAGGATTGTGACTTTAATGTTGTACAATGTGAAGTAACCTAATTTCATTACGGCCACAGTAAAATTAAGTTTGCACAGTGACATTCTTATCTATTCAAGTCTCTTGTCAGGGCCGGCTTCATGGTGTAGTGATTAAGTTCACGTGCTTTGCTTCGGTGGCCTCGATTCTCAGGTTCGGATCCTCGGGGTGGATCTAAATCATTCTTCTGCCGTGATGTGACGGTGATCTACATACAAAATAGGGGAAGATTGGCACAGGTGTTAGCTCAGGGCTAATCTTCCTCAAGAAAAAAAAAAGAGGAAGATTGGCAACCAATGTTAGCTCAGAGTGAATCTTTCTCAGCGGAAAAAAAAAGTCTCATCCTGAAAAAAGGAAACATTATGTCCAGAAATATACCTAAAGAAAAATCCCTAAGATGCCTTGGGGCTTGTTTGTCAAAACTTTATTAAGGATATTACTTTATTCACTTGTTCTACATGCATTTTTTTTCTACCACATCAATACAAATAGTCATAAAATAGTGGCACAAATGAGACCATGAACAAAGTGCATCCATATGCCCCAAGAGGATACATATTCATTGGAGTGGGAAATTTGCCATAATTAAATGGAATGTTGCTAATTTTAATAACAATGATAATTTACATATTTGCAATATATTAGAATATAAATTTATGTCTAAGATTTTTTGTTTTTTAGTTGAATGTTGTTCTAAGAGTCCTAATTTGATAATAAAAGTGATATACTATTAAATAAAATTGTGCTTTTTAGGAGCACATTTTATTGAGAGATATATAAATATAACGTCTTAAATGAATTAATATTTGTTTTGACTGAGTCATTTGATAGAACCACCATGCTCAAATTAGAATTTTCAAAAGGATAATATAGCCAGAGTATAAGAAAAATGGAGGAAGGATAAAAGTATTTTTCAATTTCTTCAGATATTACTACTAACTTTCACACTATTAAATAATTCACTGAGAACCAATAATGTTGTACATTTTGCTTCTGGAAATGCTTTGAAATTGTTAATGCTGGTATTTCATGTTGACTTTTGTTGATTTAAATTATCTTTTGTTACTACCTTGTTCTTTTACCTTACTTTGTTCACACTGATGTTCTTCCCATTTCTTCACAATCTGACAAACTCCAAACACATTACTGCCTCAAGCCATTTGTACTTACTCTTCCCTTTGTGGAATGTTCCCTTACTCCATTAAGGTTATTACTTAAATGTTACTTTATTATAGATTTCTTTTGTGATCACCTTTATAAAATAGTCACTCTTTACTCACCATGTGCACTGTCCTTTCAGTCTGTGTTATTCTTCACAGTACTTATAAGCCATCACCTATTGTATATTTATTTGTTCACTTGTTTATTATCTATCTTCCCCAACTAGAATTTAAACTCCATAAAAGCAGTGGCTTTGTCTGTCTTGTTTGCAACAAGATCCTCAGTAGATAAATGAGTGTCTATTTCATAGTAGATTCTCAATAAATAATTGTTAAATGAATGAATAAAATAATTAAACTTTGAGTCCAACTGTATCAATATGTTGAATCTCTAAACCATTGATGACTATAGTGTATCATCCGTAATATAAAAGTTCTAGATATAGGTATAGTGCATTTCAAGAAGCATGGCTAATTCTCTTTTGCCGAAATACTTTTATCTGTATTCTTACTCAGTGCTTGCACTCTAGTGTTTGGACACAATGATTTCCTGGATCCCATAATCAAGAGAATCATCTGAAACAAGGTCATTATTTTTACTTAGAAGTGATGTCTCATTAAGTGGCAAGTAACACTTCAAATAAGTACTATTTAGTAAATCAGAAAAAAACATTAAATATGAGATTATTTAAAGGTTTAGTATCATTATATTTGAAAATTACTTCATACATATGAAATATAATTAACTAAAATGATTCTAAGTATTTATATGGAATATAAACATGACAGTATCTGTCAACAACAAAGATAATGTACATTCGATATGATAGTATAATACACAACCTTTATACTTTTAGTTTTGATCCTCTCTCTCTCTCTCTACATATATATATATATACTCTCTATATATCCTCTATATATAGGGAGTGCTATACTATACAAAAACTACCCACATAAACGTGTACCCTTATCTAATTTGTTATCTCTATACAATAAGAAGCCTCAATATTTTAATATTTGTTAGATTATGCTTGAATATGCTAATATTCTCATTCTGGTACTTATGGGACAGGGTAATATAACACAAATATTCACTTCTACCTTTATGGTGATGTTTCTTCTCTTGGAACCATTTCTAATTTGTATTTTAAATAATTATTTAATTTTAGAATTATTTTAGAGTTATAAAAAAAAAACAGTGTAGAATGTTCACTGTAACCTTCTGGCCATCTGAATAACGGCCTGCAAAAGGTCATCCTAATTCCTGGAACGTTCCAATGTTAATTTATATGGCCTAAAAGGACTATAGAGATATGATTAAGTTAAGGATTTCATCTGGGATTATCTGTGTGGACCATAAAGTCGCTTCCATGTGTACTTATAAGAGGAAACCAGAGAGATTGAACCACAGATAAAAGAGAAGTGGGCAATGTGACCTTAGAAGCAGAGACTGACATGATGTGACCACAAACCATGGAATGCCAGCCGCCACTAGAAGATGGAAAAGGCAAGAAATGGATTTTTCCTCAGAGCCTATGGAGGGATCATTGCTCTTCCAACACACTGATTTTTGTCTAGGGAAACTGATTTTGGACTTCTAGATTCCAGATGGTGAAAGAATAAATAAGTGTTCTTTAAGTTTCCAAGTTTGTGGTAATTTGTTACAGCAGCTATAGGAAGCCAGCAAAACTTTAGTTTAATTTTTCCCTTGAGTGTAATCTTATGTTACCATGGTGAATTTGTGAAACTAAGAAACCTAGATGGGCATAATATTGTGTGTTAAACTTCAGATTTTATTTAGATTTCATTGGTTTTTCCACTAATATCCTTTTCCTCTTCTTGCATTTGGTTGTCATGTTTCCTTAATCTTTTTTGGTCTGTGACAAGCTCTCTGTCTTTCCTTGTTTTTGATGACCTTGATGGTTTTGAGGAGTACAGGTCAGGTGTTTCATGGAATGTCCTTCAATTGTGACTTTCTGGTGTTCTCTCATGATTAGAATGAGGTTGTAATTTTTAGAGAGCAATACCGCTAAGGTAAAGTGTTCTTCTTATCATATCACATCAATGGTACATGCTACCACCATAAATTATCACTAATGATGTTAACCTTAATCACAAGTCCTAGATAAAGTACGCAAGCTTCCTCCATTTTGTAGAGTTACTTTCCCTTCTTTTTCTATACTTTACCCTCAGAAATAAGTCACAAAGTCTAGCTGGTGGAGAATTAAGCTCCATCTCTGGGAGAAGCCAATATTTAAATAACTTATTTGGAGTTGGTTAGCAAAATTTGTCTCTTTTCCCTCGATTATTTATTTACTCATTTATTTATATTAGTATGTTCTCATTTATTTATTTTACATTATGGGAAATAACCAATATAGGTTATTTTTTGCTCAAATTTTTCCACTGTCACCATTTGAAGCTCTTTCAGTTTTCTCCTGTGTCCCTTTCACATAGGTTCCTCCTTTTGTTTTATGAGCACTTCCTTATTTTATGGTACCACACAATGCTCTAGGCTCATCTTGTATTTTTTCTACTCCCACCACAGAATCAACTATTTCTACAAAGAGCCTTCTTTTCTTTTATTAGAGAATGGTATGTAAAAGACAAGATTTGGATGTTGAGTGTGCTTGCTTATACTGGAGTTTTACTTCTAGGCCCTCTTGTCGACAGCAGTAGGAGGTGTATATTTAGGAGTCTGTATACATTTATAATTTTACTTCTTTCTCTACCTATCCATTATATCTGATGCCTCTGACTTTACCGTATTTCATCGCAACTTTCCCCCTTTCTTATTCCTAACTTTCATCTCTGACAGTGAGAAACTTGGTTCTTAACAATCCCCAACTGTTAACTTATTCTTGTGACTCCAGTATGCAAATAAAGCAGTTCCATAATTGTTAATCTATACTCCCATGAAAAACAACTTTAGCAACTAAAGTATAGGATATTTATAGTTTCTTTTATTTTTAGCCTTGCAATTTCCAACCAATACACTGTTTTCCAACATTACTTAAGTCAGCTCATTTTCTTCCCTATCTTCTTCCGATGAGGTTGTCATACATTTGTAGTGCAATTAGATTTTTTTTAACAGCCTATATTCACTCCTGAGATTCTCCTGGCTGATTCTTTTTAATTTGTACATACTAAATTTCACTCTTTGCTATGTATAGTCTTATGGGTTTTAGCAAATGCAGAGTCATGTATATACAGCCCAGTACCATGGAGAATATTTGAATCAACCTAAAACTTCCCTTTCCATCCCTTCTATAGAAAACCACTCTTTTCTCCCCCAACCATTGGAAATCTTTGAGTTTTTTACATTACTATGTTGTATGAATGGAATCACACAATTGGAACCTTTATATCTTGCTTCTTTCATTTTAAATTCCACTTTAGATTCATCCATATTGAAGCATGAATCAATAATATTCCATTTTATCATTGAATCATCTTCCAGTTTAATTATATAACAGAGTTTATTTAACTATTCACTTTCAGTTGTGCATCTGGTTGCTTTGAGTTTGGCAATTCTTAATCTAGAAGATTTTTCACTAAGATCAGGAACAAGACAATGGTGTCTTCTTTCACCACTCCTTTTCAACATTGTACTGGAAGTCGTAGCTAATGCAGTGAGACAAGAAATTGATATAAAAGGGAGAAAGATTAGGAAGGAAGAAATAAAAACTGTCTTTGATCACAGATGACATGATTGTCTATGTAAAAAATCTAAAAGAATAGAACAAAAAACCCTCCTAGGATTAATAAGTGATTGTAGCAAGGTTGTAAGAATGCAAGATTAACATACAAAATTCTATCATTGTCCTATATA